TGCTTGTTAGCCATCTGAATGTCGTCTTCGGTGAAGTGCCTGTTCATATCCTGTGCCCATTTTTCTATTGGATTATTTACCTTTATCTTGTTGTGGAAATGCACATCTCATTTTTCTTGCAGCTAATGATTAAGGTTCTTACAGTCCCTTATTCTCTGCAATTGCTCAATATCCTCCTTGCATCATCCCACAAGTTGTAGGGCTTTTGCAAATCAAGCACGTATAAGGATCCTGACTAGAAATGTACTCACAGAGTCTTAACAGTATAAAATAACTACTTACCTCACCTGTTTTTCCACAGGTGGAAATGGAAACTCTAGACACAGTAGGTGAATCTTGTGTTGTGGAGGAGATTAAAGAACATAGTTATATTTATGGATTTTATTTTATTCTTCATAGAGAGGAAAGAACCCATTTTAATGAATTTAGTAATTTAAAAAACCCACACCATAACACTTTAAATGTATTATTGAAGACTTACAGAGCTCTGGTAGCCTGGTGGACAAGGAGTGGGGCTGCAAACCCAAAGGCAAGCAGTTCAAATCGACCAGCTGCTCCACTGGAAAAAGGAGGATTTACAGTTTGCAGCCTCTGAAAACTCTCTGGAGGGTCAGCTATGAGTTGATGCCACCTTGACGGTAGAGTTATCTTCACTTGAAAGTGTCCACTCCCTCACTTCTTACCTGTTTTTTTCATCTTTTTAAAAAGTATAAAGCTCAATGCTAGTAAAATCAAATGTTAACAAAGAATAAATAAAATTCAATGCTAGTAAAAGCAAATGTCAACAAAAAATGAAACTTTGTTATGTAGCTGCCCATCTTAGTTTTCCCCCTCTGTCTACCAGAATTTTGAGTGTTTCAGGGGTTATTCCTTCTTATTTTGGGGTGAAAACCCACAACACCTCTTTTTTTTTTTTCTGGTTGGTTGGAAAGAGGAGGAAAGATCTCTATCTATACACAGTCCCTTTTTTCTTGTCTCCAAATTCACCATATCCACTTGGGAAAGATAGTATGAAGCCAAAGATGGGCCTGGCTCTGTTAAGGAGACCAGATGGAGCTGAGTCTTTCCCCCCCTCAGCCTGAAATCTGCAAGGACTCAGGCAAGCTTGGATTCAGTCCTGTCAGTCACCTTCTGGAGTTCAGAGGGGTCAGCAGTCCTGGTTACAGTCAGTCTTCACCCAGAGGGGATATATTTTCTACAGAATCTTCAACACCTCACATTTTCTCCTGGGGTCTCCCACATACGGTCCAAGAGCTCAATAGGTTACATGTTTTTATCTTACATTGGTGCTACATTTTATTCTTTTTCTTTTTTTCTGGAGAGCCTTCATTAAAAAAAAACACCACCACCACCACACAACAAAAACACCACCACCAAACAAAACTG